CTGCCCTTATGTACTACAAAACCACAATGATAATGTAAGCATGGATCCAGCCCCTTCAAAGTGGCAACAATGTTGTCATTAATGCAGTTTCAGTAGAGACATGACCATTTTGCCTACAGTTTATGGTTCATGTACGAGTCAGTTTTGCGAAAGCCATGCACGAGAAATCAGAATGTCAATATCATTTTCCAAAAAACACAATTGTACTGCACATACATGCAGGAGTCATCCAATCAATGGCCATAAATGGGCATTAAAATGTAAACATGTCCGATATTATGGGAGCGAGAACCAGTCCATCGCGAGTGATCATGTGTGACGTGTGAATCCTGAGCTTAAATTCGAGAGTGATTCCTTGGCAAGCAGACAATAGACGTTCTTAATGTGTCGGATCAAGGCGGTGCAGGGTTTATTCAAATCTAGCAGTGCACATGGCATCGCACAGTTTGGCACACATTCAGTTACCAAAAATACACCCAACACATGCTTATGTCTGTGTTATCCTGATCCTCCATGCACAAACGTGGGATGGGAAAGATTCACTTCCACTGTACGGCTCATCAATACGAGTCAACGGCTCACCAGAGCTCCAGAAAATACGAGAAACCCTCTTGTCAGGAGAATGATACTGCAAACTTCCTGAAAAATCATAACAAAATGCTTTTTTCAGAAAACAGGATCACATGTACAATTGCTTTTATTAGGGGGTGGGGTGGGGGTGGGGCATGGGAGAAATGTAGCCATACATTCAAAGCTCTACATGTACCGCCAACACTAAGCAGTGGTGCATGTCACATGTACATGATGTATCATGACACCATTTAACAATATTTATATTACTTTATCGGGGGGGGGGTGCACACTGCAGAATAAGGCCTGTGCCAAGTCTAAATTTGCTGAAAAATTTGGGAAGGTTGGTGATCTAGAAAAAAGAGATCTATTTGTATGGTACAGGATCACACAGAAACAAAACACCTCAATTTAGAATTGCCAATTTTTTCATGTCCCCATGAAGCTGAGGCACTAATGTGTTTACATGAAAATGGATTTGGCATTTGGCTAAGCATTACTGAATAAATATGCAAAGCCTGAAATAAATTCAACGTCAGACATGCCAGAATAAGTTCTGCGAACACGAAAGGTGGCATGTACAATAAAAAAGATTAGTCCGACATGTTAACTACTTTCATCCTGTTCATGTCAGAATCAAATTGTTATGAAATGTTCATTTTTTGGGGGGGGAAGGGGGGCATTTTTCTCTCTCTGTTGTCATGACCTGTTCGTATTGTTTTTATTAATTTTATACTGAATCGTGCAAATAGTATTTTTGTTTACCTTCCAATTAAGGCCTAGTTGATCATTTTGATGTAATTTATGTATGGAAATCTTTCCCATGTATAACAAAGTTGTAGCACAATACACGACATGTCATGTACATGTGCATCACGCCAATGGAGGATCTTCGTCCACACATGCACGAACCTAGGTACGGGTTAGATCCGCACGCGTGCCCGTACAAATACATGAACACGCAAACGGTCGAGTTGTCTCTAAACCATCATGCGCTTGGGCTATGCGTGATACACAGGCGCGTACCATGTACGCTTTACAACCAACTCGACCGTTTGGCATTCCGCGCACACACGAAAATATGTCACTTTTTGCACCTAAATATCAACAAATCTACCGCTGGCCTTACCTTCAAACCGGACACATATGCAGCACGTATCTCCAAAACAAAGTTGATGTGGGCCTTACATCGGGGAAAACCTCTTGTTTGGAGAAAAACACCTTTTAATGTGACAAATTTGTCACATGACCGCACACCGCGATAATCAGCTCGGTCGAACACCAGTTTTGACGGACGCCGTTTTCAGTAATTTAATATTCATGAGCTAATATTCATATATGGAAATAAGGGGAAAATAACAAACTTTTGAAAAAGAAACATTTTGAACTTTGACCGATTAATCTACCAATGACATTCCAAATATTCCCAGATATAAATATTAATGATATGAAACTCGCTTGGCCCGACCCACGAAGAGTGTCGGTGACGTCATTTTACGGAGATTTTCGATTGGCGCGATTAGAACGACAGAGGGCGCCATTATTTTGCGCTGGAACAGCCGTGATCAGAGAATGGCATCGCAACCGATCCAGACAAAAAAGCTGCGATCAGAGATTGGCCGACCCCTACCAACGTTAAAGAAGTGAGAAGTTTTGTAGGTCTCGCCTCCTACTACTGGCGATACATAAGAGGTTTTGCTGACATAGCGAAACCCCTTCACCGACTTACTGAAAAGTCCCGAGAATTTGAATGGGACGAAGATTGCGAGAGGTCCTTTCAGACCCTCCGGAGGCGCTTGCAAGAGGCGCCCATTCTTGCTTACCCCCAACCTACGGGGCAGTATATACTTGATACAGACGCAAGTGGGGTTGGTATAGGTGGGGTGCTTTCCCAGATTCAAGATGGGACGGAACGGGTAATTGCTTATGCCAGCCGAAGTCTATCAAAGCCAGAGCGCAATTATTGCGTGACTCGCAGAGAACTCCTTGCAGTAGTGCGTTTCTTAAAGAACTTTAAGCAGTACCTGTATGGAAACAAAATTATCGTCCGAACTGACCACGGCTCCTTACGTTGGTTGACTAATTTCAAGAATCCGGAAGGTCAACTCGCTAGGTGGCTTGAGGTTATCGGCGAATATGACTACTCGATTATCCACAGGCCGGGTCTGAAACATGCTAATGCTGACAGTCTCTCCAGACTACCCTGCCGCCAATGCGGTATGGGACCAGACAATTCGCTGGAAGATGTAGATGCTGCAACGCCTACTGAAGCTACTGAGTCACAGGTTCGAGTTGTGAGAGCACAGCCAAGTGTGACTTGTGAGGTTGTCAGAAAGGCACAGTTAGAAGATCAATCAATGGCATGGATTATAGAAGCCAAAGAAAAAGCTACCGGTAGACCGGAATGGGATGCCATTGCCCTGAAATCAGTAGTGGCAAAGACGTACTGGTACCGTTGGGACCAATTGAGAGTCTTGAATGGAACACTCTTTCGCAGATGGGAAGCTGGTGACGGTAACGGTGTGCAATGGCAAATAGTGTTGCCAAAAGGACTACGAGAAAGTGTTATGTCTGAATTGCACGGAGACGCCACAAGTGGCCACCTGGGATTTCGGAGAACATTTGCCCGATTGACTCCCCGTTATTTTTGGTATGGGATGAGGGCCGATCTCCGCTCACATATTCGGAAATGTGACCGATGGGTTATCCAATGGAGAGGGTTGCCTTGGATATTGTAGGCCCCTTGCCTGAAACGGCAGTTGGCAATCGATGGATACTAGTAGTTGGTGATTATTTCACCAAATGGGTTGAGGATTATCCACTGGTCGATACCACGGCTGAAACTGTTGCCAAGACGCTGGTCACACAGTTTATTTGTAGACTAGGGGTCCCGACAGAATTACATTCTGACCAAGGGCGAAATTTTGAAGCGGCTGTGTTCTCAAGTGTATGTAAAATATTGGGCATACATAAAACCAGAACCACCCCGTACAATCCCAAATCGGATGGATTTATCGAACGCTTCAACCGAACACTAATAAATATGGTCGCCACCATGATTGAACCAAAAAAGCGCCAACGAGATTGGGACGTACAACTGCCGTACGCAACCTTTGCATATCGCTCTACTCCCCAGGAGAGTACGGGAGAAACGCCATTCATGATGATGATGGGCCGAGAAACGTCCCTACCCATAGACCTTACCACAGAAAATGCCCCACGAGAGGCCAATGATGAGGCAGATTATGTAGAGGAGCTCCGACACAGAATGCAATGTGCCCACGAGCGAGCGTCCGAGCACCTCGGGGCTAGTGCAAGACGACAGAAGAAAGGATATGACCGTCGGGTCGGTGGTAAGTGCCTACAAGAAGGTGATTTTGTTTGGCTATTTAATCCCGCCAAAAAGAAGGGCGTTTGCCCAAAACTCGTAAGCCATTGGGAGGGTCCCTACTTGATCCTTTCCAAATTGTCAGATGCTGTTTATCGATTGCAGAAGAATAAACAAGCAAGACCAAAGGTCGTTCATTATGACCGTCTCAAAATGTATGAAGGGGAGCCAATGAAGGCGTGGAACCGGACCCAATGCACATTGAAAGACACTGGCGAGCGGTTCACCGACAACCCTCCCCGTGAAGCTCAGTGCGGTAACTCCGAGTCAGATCAAGGAATAACCAATGTTATTGACCCTGATAATGGGGTAGAACAAACGGAAATTATCCAGGTTACTGGAAAAAAATGAAACCCCTGCCGAAGTGGACGGGTTAATTAGGCCCCATAGGGTGGAAATGCCAACCCAAAGCAGGAGAAACCCCAAGAGAACCCACAAGGTACCCGTAAGGTATCGATAAGTGTAATAATTGTACATATTTCTGTTTATGTTTCTCATTTTAGAATGGCCCGACAAGCGCCAGATGACCTCGATCCTAGCCGGCTTTTGAAGTGCCGAAGATGTACCAAGGTGTTCTTACAGAGGAGCAGCCTCTACAGACATATACAGACAGCCCATGGGCCACCCTTGATAGCCTCCTGCCTCCGCTGCTCTTTTAAGAGCAAAAGGAGGGACAACCTCAGTCACCACTACCGCCGAGTGCATCCCTCTCACCTTGACGACCTCGGAGGCATCCTGATGAGCATTGGCGAGGACAACTCCGAGCCGTCACCATCAGCCCCCAACCTACCCAGCAGTAGCATAAGGCGCTGGGGTGCTGATCCGCCATTGGGCCAACCCCGGATGGTTCCTCCATCTGTCTCTCCAAGGATGAGGGCGAGCCATGGTAAGGAGCAACCCATGGCGGTGGAGCCTGTCCCCTGTGCGATGGCAACGCAGCCCTCCATGCCCCTCAACGATCTGCTACCAATCAATGAAGAAGCCCTAAGATTATCACAGTCGCCGTCCATGAGTCTTCATTGACGAGCTTGACATCGGGGCTATGATCACAGCACCTCCCGAGCCAGCCTACCCAGCATCCCCCATGCCAGCTGCTGCCACAGCACCTCCCGTGCCAGCCTACTCCCCCGTGCCAGCTGCTGCCACAGCACCTCCCGTGCCAGCCTACACAGCATCCCCAGTGCCCACTGCTGCCACTGCGCCTCCAGCCACCCTCGGTGGCAAGCCTTTGGCCTTGTTGAAGTCCCAGCAGGCTCATCAACCCGAGTCCTCCGATGACAGCGACGATAGTACTGCTGAGGACGCTGCAGACACCGATGCACCAATTCCAGTATCTTCGAAGGCTGTCACTACCGTCAAGAATTCTTTTTGGAAACTGCCCTGGAAGGGAGGGTAACCAAGGTGACAGAAACATTGAACAAATACTACCGAAGTGGAGATCTTAAACAAGTCTGTAGGGTCCAGGTTTATGAGATCACCAAGTAGAGAGCAGAGACGTCTTCTTCACCTCCCAATGAATTGTGGACAGTTAATTTTAATCGGACAGTTGTGTTATGAATAGCAAGTGTTTAACTGCGTTATATGAAAGTCTTTGGAAGTTTTCACACACACACACAAAATGTGTATTTTCATGCATACATGTAAAATAATTGTTGTATCGAATATTGCTATGCTCGTAAACTAATTTAGTAAACTGTTTTTTCGGCCTTATTGAACAGGGACCGTTCAGGCCTCGAATGGGGCTGTGTAACGGAAATTAGTTTACTCACGTTGAAGATTTTCGCCTTGTAATTTTTGTACTTTAGTGTATACTTCTGCCGCGCATAATAGCAAGCGCGTGAAGCGCCTTGTTGGGCGCATTGCCATTTCACTTGTGCATGCAGCGCGGAATTGTGCACTATTGGGCGGGTGTATTATTGGGCGCCGCTTATCTGTAGTTTGGGCGCGTCCATATTGCCCTATGTGTACATGGCGCGTGTTTGGGCGATTTTTATAGCTGCGCTGTGGCGCGAAGTTTAAGTTGGTTGCTAAGAACAGTCTAGTTTAGGGTCACTTGCCAGGTTGCTTCCGACAGTGCCACACATCAAATCATTTTTCGATTGTCATGATTGTGTCAGCCCATATGGCCTAGTATAGTACCAGTGTTATAATTTCACCAGGAATTCATCTTAACCGGTAAGAACATTTATTTCTAGAAACGAACTTTATCTTTACCTGTCAGTAAAGGAAGGATTCTAGGCAATAATTTGTCCTGCTTTTGTGACTGATTTTAATTGCAAATAGGCCTAATCGGACACCTCCTGGGGGTCCGATTGGCCAATTTCACTTGCACCTCCTGAGGGAGAGCGCTAGTATTTTACTAGGTAAGCTTATTGCTCTGGTATATAACCTGAGTTAATTAACTCAGAAACTGAGTAATCAAAAGTAAGTTAACTGCATTCTGTTCATTGTTATTGTCTCCCTCTTATTAATTGTTGCGGACCGGAATAAATTTATTCCTTGTTTTGTTGTTCATTCACATCTTGTGTCCAATTGTTTATTCACTTTTGTTCGTCCAATCGGCCCATAAATTAGGATATATTTTCCTAAAAACGAATGTCCCCGCAGATTATACTTAGCCGCTCAAGTGTAATTTGTTATAATAAATAATTATCGTGGCAATAATTGGCGCCTCCCCACGCCGCCTGACCACTACTTAAACGACTTTGTGACTGCACCTCCCCTCCCCTAATTGAGGTCCTATCCTCTTTATTTCCTATCCCCTGGTTGGTGCGTCCCCCAGATCCAATTGTCGTTCCCGCCACACCACTTTTGACACCTATTCTGAAACTGCTTTACATCAGCTTGGCTGAAAGTGCCATGCTTACTGCGAAGGGAAATACACAGACTGTAAATTTCATCCCACACATATTGTTTCAGTACTGCACAAAAGATGAGTTGCATCTTGGAGAAGATCAGCTACCTAGATATTCTGGCAGAAGAGGAGTTTCTCTGGGCCTGTAGGAGTGCGCCACTTGAGAATATTTGAGGATTGCCCGATGTAGAATGAAAAACCAGGAATCCCGATACTAGCAAGAACTCCTCTAACCTGACACAGCTTTTGCATTTTTTTCTGTCAAATACAGTCAGTGCTCTTAGTAATTTCATCAACCCTTCGGAGATCTTGTATTACTAGGTTGAATAATACATCAGTTATCCGAAGAAACATGTGCAGGGTATCCAGAACTAGATTATGCACCGGAATTGATGGAAAAACTGGAACGTGCGAACAATTGAATTTTAAAGACTGTTTGTCATTTGAAAGCACTTGGTTATTTCTTGTGTAGTTTTACAGCCTTTTGCAGGATCAAACATTGACCATTCAGTGTCTGTGTCATAAAACTGCATTGAGGGACACTTGCAGTATACACATGAGTATGTGGCAGAAGCACAGTCTAAACCAGAACAGCAAAGTAAAAAGTTATAATCTCCTACAAGACAGTAATTATTGCAGTAAGTTTTACCATCAACAACCAACTGTTGGAAATTTTCAATCTGAGATCGAATATCGGTTGAGTGCGCTACTAATGCATTATATCCCTCTGCATCTTGAAACAATGCTACCAGGTAATTTCTGCTAGCTGTTCCAGCCCACTTTCCCTCTTCAATAATTGTGATAGTAAAGTTCACAATATGGATATTCTTCTCTACCCATGTACCGTCCCCTGGCAGTTTAACATGTATTTCGTTACTGTCAAGAAATCCTTTACAATGCAAATTGCTCAACTCTTTTTTGAATGAGCAGGCAAATATTTCTCTGGTAGCCAATTGAACCTTCTGCTGGAGTATTTTTCATGTCATCCACGGGTATCTTCTTGACAAACTTCTTTAATTTATACAAAGAGGGTAAGCTACCACAAAGAACAGATAGATTCTGAAAGGCCTGGTCAGAAATGCCAAACTTATCTTTTACAAACACAATTTTATTTTAAGTTGTTCAAATGAATCACTAAATGCACCTTTTGGAAGCAAATTTATATCTTGCAAACTACCGTTTTCAAGATTTCTCACAGTTACCTTTTTTAGCTACTAGTTCACAGCATTTAAGAAATTGTAAGGCTTTGGCACAGTCTTCAGAAACGGTTGCCTTGAATCTGTATCTATGGGATCTGCTGTACGAAGGTTGCAAATCAAGCGGGTATCTCCTGTATGTATTGACAATATGCTGTGCAACAGTTTTTTGTGTTTGCGAATTAATGTTCTAGCCTTGGGTTTTTCAGATTCTTCATTTCTGAAATTTGTCAGCCTGAGAGAACGTTTTTCTGCATGAAAAATCTTGAACTTCCATACGTTGTTAGCAGCAATCCACTCCTTGAATTTCTCTTTCTGTCGTCCCCCCTTCTTTAAGTGGCAAAGATGAGTTAGAAATCTGTCAAGTTTTACTCGGATCTGATGGGTTAACCGTGGTGTTAGTTTTAAATGCAATGCATAATGTTCACAAATTTCGTAAAAATGTGTTACGTAGCTTCCATTGTAGCCTATGAAATGGCCTGGTCAATAATATCTAGCAGGAAGGTTAGCTCCACATTCTTGACGGAAGAATGAGTTTCATATTCAGACATTAGAGGCACTCATTTGTAGATCTTGTAGAGTGGCTGGCACTACACGGCAGTTTCACGCATAAAAAGTACGCCCTCTGTTGGCGAGAGGGAGTTAGTGGTAATACCACGTGACAACATAGCGCGATGTAAAAAAAAACCTTACGCGCAGCGAGACCTTTGTTTCGTTGGTGGATTTAAATACCCCGCGAAAGATAAAAAAAATTGATTGGTTTATTAAAATGAATATGCAACAGATTACCAAATAAGGCTTTACAAACCATCAATGAAGCTATGTACGGTCGACAGTTGCCATCTAGCGTGCACAAATTATGATAATGTGTGTTTTTTATGCAGCGTGTGACTTGTGACCTGGTACGATTTAGCGTTTTCGTGCCGTCATTTCCACTTAGAGAAAACATCATTTATAAAGTAAAATGCAGTTTTGTGACGCATACTTGGTCATACTTATCAATAAATGAGTTATCTAGGTTCATGTTGATATGAACGAAAGGTTTGGGTCGACATGCTTTCGTGAGATTTTAGCCAATATTGAGGGTGAATAAAACAGGAATTCGTCAAGTCGCAACGTACGAAGTGTACATGCAGTGTCATGGCGTGACGAGTGGGGACCTTCATGGCCATGTTTTGGCATGATTTCGGAGATTCAGACGGAAATCTCAAAGGTAAGCCTACAGATATTTACTCTGTATTTACTCTGCTCAGAAGATGTAGTTTTTGTAGTTTCTCCTTGTTTTTAGCCTGCGACACAAGGATTTTGTGTACGTACGCCGCGCCATGACAGGAAGTTATTACAGTAATGTCGTACATGAAACAGTCGTAGCGTAGGCGCCTTGAGCTATCCCACAGCACGCACTTTTGGACGACGCAACGACTCGTGTATGTAGAAGACTTTCATCTAAGAAATATTTCTGCCCAGTGTGCCTTGCTAGTTGCAATTACCCAGAAAATCGTATTCGTAATAAATAATCACAATGCATTCCTTAATCCTAATAGTAACAGTCCTGAATCCTCCAATTTCATTATGATTTTTGAATTTCATGTAAATTTTAGTCAGCGTGGTCAGGATTTGCTGGCAATGGCATGCATCATGCAGGAACATGAATGATGATGGAGGAATGGAGGTCATTCTTTGCAGGCAGGAGCCTGACATTGTTCTTGAAAACTTCTCAAGGAAACTGTGTACTGTACATGTATGTATTAAATGCGTAAACAAAGGATTTGACATGTAGGCCCTACATGTAGGTTACATTGCCAGGGCCGTCAATACATTAGGCTATTTCTTTTTTGCCCTCACTCAGTCATATAATTGTACTTTTTTTTGTAGAGTTTTTTTTCCCATTAATTTCAAATTTGAGACTTACCCCCTTAGTTGACATTGGACCGACTTTTATACATTTGTACCTGGGACCAAGTTGACCTGGAAGTGGAACTGAGTTGGCCATGCTGTCTCAGACGGTCAGACCCGTCTGTTAGGGACCGAGTCGGTAACAGTTGTTGGGTACGGAGTTTACTCGAAACCCATGTAATGCATGCTCTTGTTCTTGTTGTGTACAAACACAAACGTCACGTAACTGTACATGAACTTGAATGTGTACTTTAATTTGCCATCTAGACCTATTGGTTGTCTCTCGGACGCTGTGGAGGAGGTTTGCCTACAGTTCTTCTTATGCGGAGTGTACGACATTCCACCATGACACGCAGATGACGTACCCTGCCCTGACGAAGGATACCTTCAGAAAATTTGACAATTTTCATCGGTGAGCATCTTGATATTATTTTACTTAGAAATTGATCA